CAGAGATGTGTATAAGAGACAGAATTTGATGCGCTGAATACGGGAAAAATAGTGAAAAAAATCCTGGTGGCATCCTTTATCTTGAAAATCGCCATTTCAAGGTTAAATTTTTTTTTTTAATGAAAGAAATAGCGATTTTCAAGGTCAAGGATGCTTCCGGGAAATTTTACACTATTTTTTCCATATTCAACGCATAAAATTTTTCCTGAAAAAACATCAAAAATTATGTGTCCCCTAGGTGGTCGATATATCGACCACTCCCGCCGTTAAAAGGTTAATTACTCGGAGAGCTCGGAAATTGCCAAGCCTGCGGAACAGTTTGTCCTCTTGCAACACCATGTATATGTGTATTTTCCGACGAGGAAGGAAGTGGTTTTTAACGCCGCCTGTTGCTGATATTATGCAGTCATGTCTCGCTGCTTGCCGGAGTACATTCGCGCGCTGTTCTTTTGCCGGGAAGTGATTCGCGAAATCGAACATAGTGTTGGCTTTACTATCCTATATCTATCACGATGTTTCGCTTAAGATAATAATCACTACAAATAACAGTGCCATATTTAACTCAGATTTTTTCACATTTTAATTATTTATTGGAAGAAATGGGCGATAAATAATTAAGCTCTTTCTCACATTTACATCTAAAAAATGAGTAATTTATATATCTTGTGCATGTCAATAACTCGGTGATGCTGATCAAATATAAATCTTTTTACAAGATTTTATTAAATAAATTTCAGTCCCATATTATCTATCATATACAGGTAACAATTGTATTTCTCATTAAATATATAACACATTTAAATTCTTTAATTTCTTTTTATTTTTCACAGCAATTGTCAATTGCCATTTATTAGCTATAACGTAATTAGAGTCTTGTACAGATATGATTCATTTTACGTGTTAGAGATCCATCTAAAAGTAAACTGTTTAAAATTTTTTAAATGATCATAAAAATAAATCTTAATGCACATATTGTTCATATATGTATAAGGTAAGAATATGTAGGTAAAAAAGTCTATATGTCTTGCATCTAAGCACTGAAGGTAGTTATTTTAAGAAATATTTTTAACATTTCCAGCAAAAATTACAAAATATACAAAATTTTTGTAGACATGAATTTTTTTGGGATTTTCAGGTGAAAACGTTAATTTTAATGAGAAAAATTTAATAATATAAATAACATTTTTTTAATTTTAAGTAAGTAAATGAAATTATATCCACTTTTAAAGATCTGAACAAATTTTTAAAAATACTCGAATATATGTAGAATATGGTAGGATAAAGGAAATTTTGGGATCGCCATGGGATTCACACGTAAACGAATATTTTTTCCAAAATAAAATTGGAATTTTAGTTAGAAACTGAATATCATTTTTTAAATTATCTTCTTGTCTATTGACAAAAATTAATGAAACAATTAAGAGTCAATACGTAGAACTTGATATATATATAAAATTTCTTTTTACAATTATATTTAATGTTACTACATATTCTTAACACATTCCTTAATACATATCTCTTTGTGAGGAAAGGAATGTATTAAGAATATAATTGTGATAAAAATTCTTTACTTACTAAGTAACATTGAATATAATTGTGATAAAAATTCTTTACTTACCAAGTTCTGTGTGTTGTTTCTTAGTGTCTGTTTCTTTAATTCTTGTTAGTATTTAAATTTGAGAGTCAAACATATTGGATATTATTTTTTTTAATTGATCTAATTATTTAATATTGCGTAAATAATATATTTTTAATAAAATAACTACGAAATGAAAAATAGAGTTCTGGAGTTTTTTATATTCTTCAGACTCATTTATTTCTTCTTTATTTTTGGGAAAAAACCTTTATTACAATTAAATTCTTTAATAATCAATTGATCTTCGCTTGCAAAAAAATTCTTATAATTTTTTTGTATTTTAATTCGCTATCTAGTGGCCACGCGCTCGGTACTAGTCAATCTATTCGATACAATCATTACGTGAAATTTGAATTGTAAGAACAAGTTAATTAGGAAAACAAAAGTTATAATACATAAATTTTTTTTATATAATTATACAATTGTATTTTTATACAGGGTGTTCCAAAATACGCGAATCAAAATATCATAGCAAGAAAATCTTCGAAAAATTAAGTAAAAAAGTTATATATTTGTAAATTTTTAATTTAAGCAGTAGTTTGTGAGATATAAGAGTTAAAACTTGGCCAATTATAGATTACGGAACGGAACATATCCGTAAGTAGCGCGGCAGTAGTAGTGATCGCGCACTTTATGCGTAATCTATAATTGGCCAAATTTAAACATATCTTATATATGGTATACCTCATACTGCTTAAAATAAAAATTTACAAATAACTTTTTTACTTAATTCTTTGAAGACGTTTTTGTTATAATGTTTTGATTCGTGAAATTCGGAACACTATATAAGGAAACTGAAATTTGTTTTACAATTGCTAACAAAGAATTAAGCAATAATTGAAAAATAGTCATAGTAATTGAGTAATAATTAAAAAATTAACTGCAAAAGAAATTTTTATATATCTATAAAAAATATATTTATTTTATGGTTTATTTAGCTGAAATTCCAATTTTGTTTCGAAAAAAAAAAAATTTATTTATGAGTCGATCTCAATGCGATCTTAAAATTTTTTTTATGGTACATATTTTACATATATTGGGGTATTTTTGAGAATTTTTTTAAATCTTGAAAAGTGAAAGAAATGAAAAGAATATAAGATTAACGTTTTTATTTAAAAATATAAGAAAAATATTAAAAAATTCATATAAATAAAAATTTTGTATATTCTGTAATTTTTTTTACAAATGTTAAAAAAAGAAAAAAATTCTTAAAACAACTACCTCCAATATCTTGAATGCAAGGCACATAGTACTTTTTTTTTATCTTCAATCTTATGTACGTATATGTGCACAATATGTGCATTAATTTGTTTTCATGATCACTTAAAAAATCCCAAACAGTTTATTTTTAGGTAGACCCCTGATACGTGAAATGTACCACATGTGTATTCTGTATGAACCAGCAAAACAGCAAATCGAGGAAAAAACGTTTCTTGTACGGATTACCACACATCTCCAAAAAAAATATTCTACTTATAAGCTGGGAACTCCTCTTAGTATTTCCTCTAATTGTAAGATAAAATCTTACATAAAACATATTCTTCTCTAATATGTATTCATTGATAAAAAAAGTTGATTAATTACGCATGAGCTGTGATTAAGAGTAAATTCCACTATAATTAATAACTCGAATAGCCTCTTGAAATAAGAGGATATGCAAGATACTCGTGATACATGTCCATTAGAAGTCAATTGTCATTTATTTGCTATACGTGACGTGTAGATCACCTCATATAAGGCAGCGAGCTTTGAGCGAGCAGTGCTTCATCAAACGAGCGAAGTAAATGAATCAAAAGAAAGTACATTTAGGCGACTATTGATCTACATTTGAAAAACAAATTTGAAATCAGCGAGTATTGGAAATGTTCTTTTTTGAAGAGAGTTTGCATTACGCTAATGATAAGTGCTATTTTTCTTTGAGAATAAAATTTGCATTGTATTTACTAAATAAACCATAGCGAAAGTTAATACATATTTTCATAAAATATGTTTATATACCTTACGTAATTTATTCAGCTTCTTTTTCATTTTTTAGTTAGTCAATATCTTACTTTTTTATACATTCTATATAAAATTTTAATTAATTTCAATTAACGAAACATCAATAAAAGAGCAACTGAGCTTTACACAGGAATTAGTGCCGGTTTTAGCTTCAATCTAGTAGGCATATATGAAATTATTTGTACAAACCCAAACGTTTTTTCGATTTCGCATTGAACCATCCTTAGTGGGTGAATATAAAAAGTCGTCGTCGTTAAATTACATAAGTGATCGCTCGCTACAATCCGGTTGATACGATCCGGTTGACTATATCGCGTAAATTTTGTCCGTGTGTCCCATAGATGAGAATGTCAGGACGGAGTAGTTCATTATTAATGTCTCTTGACTAATTAACTTTCCGTCTGGCTTCTTAATTTTATACATTGATTCAATACTTGTTAAATAATTAACTACTTGACATTCTGACACTTTTATTTTTGGAACATGTTTATAATGTTTAATTCAATATATTGACTGAAGCCTAGTTGTTAATAATGAACTACTCCATCCTGTCATTTCCATTCATGGGACACACGGACAAAATTTACGCGCATGTTTATCGAATCAACCGGATTGTATTGTAACGAGCAATCACTTATGTAATTTACCGACGACGACTTTTTGTATTTGTCCACTGAGGTTGGTTTAATGGAACCGAAATTTAGGATTGTAAAATAATTTTTTAACTTCGTAGCAGCGCAGGAAATCTTGACTGGACGTGCCTTCCAGAGCACTCGTCGCGGCTGCTTGGACCTTTTTAATCGTTCCAACATCCGTTTTGGGACGATTAAAAAGGTCCAAGCAGCCGTGCTGACGAGTGCTCTGGAAGGCACGTCCGGTTAAAACTTTCTGCGCTGCTAGGAAGAGTGACAGCAACGCTGGAATCACTGTATTGACGCTCAAGGGCCCTACTTTGAAAAATATTAGTGTATTTTCAATAAAACGGTTTGTCCAGAATTAGTCTCATTACTTTCGGGACAGACCATGATATATATATATATAATATAGTATTTATTTGTAGTTATTTATAATTATATTATTGTACTTTGAAATTAAAAAAAAATTTTTTCAGTTAAATGTGTTTAAAAAAATATAAATGTGTATACATTTTTAAATAATTTATTTTTTTTTAAATATTTATACTTATTTAATTCGATGTCTACGTAAAAATCATGTATAATTTTATGGTTTTTCAAAAAATATGTATTTTTTAAATTTGTTTTTAAAAACATGAACAGCTTGAAATAATCAAGATTTTTAATCAATTGGTTTTCAAAGTAACTCAAAAAGTGTTTTTGAAAAATATTACTGTACAATCAACAATATTATTAGAAATACATGAAAAGGCTCTCCTCTAATCAGCATAATCAAGTATAATTAATGTTTACAATTAAGATTGAAAATAAAAAATATTTGTTTTAAGGTATTGTTTTAAATCTCTAAATATAATATTAGATTTACAAGAAGAGGAGATCCTTCTAACATTAAGAGGATTGCAATCTTAAACCCAGCATCTCATAGTTATTCGATATTCTTCTACATTTTAGAGTATCCTCTTCTAGAGGCCATATATAAGAGGAAAATCCTCTAAAATAAAGAGGGTACTGCTAAAGAATAGAATATTTTTTTGGAGTGCAAAATTTTCCGTAATGCAAACCGGTTAAGATGAAAATGAAAACACGATAATTATGTAATGATAGTAGGATTTATAAAAATAATGGATGAATCTTCGAATAATAGTCGTAAATAAGCGTTAGCTAATCGAGAAGATTAATGAACATTTTCAAGAAAATTTTATATCTATAATGTTTAGAGATAAACACGATAAATTATACATTTAGTGTGATTAATTATGATTATAATTGTCATTAATTAAGTATAGCAGCATTAAAACGTGAAAGAAATGACATTAATTAAGTAGTCCAATTCAATTTCAACTCGCTTTTTTATTACCAACTTGACTTATAACATGTAAATCTTTTGCGTAATCAAGACCTAGCACTGATTGCTTTCATACTGACGAACTCTGTACTTCTAGACTTCTCTATATAGGCAATGGCCTTCGACAACGATAATTCCGCATGCATTCATGACTAATGTTATCACTTCGACGTTTACTCTTCATCCGGACTGCGTATAAGACGTGAGAAATGACATAAAGACGCTGCGGCTGTAATCTACGAGGTTGATCTAACATTAAGAAATGTTATCTCGAGCAAAAAACCAGTGAACCTTTTTATTTAATATATCAAGATCAAACACACTCCCTAATAGTACTCTAGATTTTTCTTGTTAGCACTTTTCGCACTCAAAATTCTTAGCATTTCTTATTTATCTTGCTCTTACTTTATTTCAATAACGTACATGTAGAATAAAAGCATCTAATTCTGAAGAACATAAAAGTATATGTTAAGAACGCGGAGGAATTTTATCAAGTTTCTTCAATTCTTAGCATAAAAGATAAAAGATTATATATTATTTGATTAAAATATCGGCAAAATTACTCGAAAAAAAAGAATGAAACATTATATGAGTACATTTAATATTATATATGATGCTGTTCTGCGTGAAGAAGAATAACAAGTATCTACTTGCGTTGAATTCACTCGCATCGATCCTAGCCACCACGTATGTCGCCTATAAGGATAGTTATTCTTGACGCAAGGACTTTGCTCGGGTTAACGTTACGCGAATTGCACAATAACGCATCCAATGCTACAATTTAATGGATTTTTGACATTTTGTGCATCGTGATGTATATCCGCGGTTTCTTGTTAGTATTCGTTACTATATATATTATGAAGAGAATTGTGTTATTCATAAATCATTAATTCGGTGAGAGAAATTATTTTCTGTATAACATATATATAATTTTAACTTATAATATACTTATTATAAGTTAAAATTATATATATGTTATACAGAAAATAATTTCTGTATTAATTTTAATATATGACTTTCTGTCTTTAGCTTGACACGCTGCCCATTTGAAAGGACACACCACTTCTGAAGTCAATCTCACAAAATTATATTTTTGTATAGTTTTACATTCAAAGCTCGAATAGCTTGATCACTCTAACTTCATGCATAGATCCATCATGCGCTGGTGCACAACCGAGTATTTGCAAAAGTGCCTGATCACGCGCTGGCGCGTGATGGACAGCGAACGTATTAATTGATTACTCAATAGATTACTCAATAATTTCTCGTTATAAATTGTTTTCCTTTTTCTTTAATAAATTACATCATGTATATAATTGTATAAGTGTAAAATATACATTTTATATAACATCTAAAGAAAATAATGTTACCTGGATTTAAGGGAATTAAAGTCTCTTCTTTTGCCATCATTTACAGCTGAGCACTTGTCTTGTCAAGATACCTTCTTATTGATGTCATTGATAAGAATTTTCCTAAAATGCATTTACGTGCTCATCCCAAGAACAGACTCATCCTTTGCTTTTCAGTCAAAATATTGCAAAATTAAGCTCGTTTTCGTAATTAACAAAATTGTTTTGGATACACACATATGTTTACGAACTATAAGGAGAAGTCAAGTTTGTTTTATGAATTCGGTGCTTCAGCAGTTCAACGATGTATCCATTAAATATCTTATTTTGCTATGTGCTCCTGCTTGTTTCGTCCTCGGAGTCTCGAAGAAACTCTACGAACAACAATGAGCAAAGAGATAATTTGCAGTACGAATTCCGTATCAATTCTACAAATAACGATCGCATGGATTCGGTGCGATACGAGTCTCACGGACACATCATGAAGGTTCAGGATGAGAATAATCACACGTTTACGAAGTCTCGTGCGAATTCTACAAAGGTCAATATCATGGACAATTCGACGTTGCAAGAATTTCATAATAGTCTCACGAAGGCCGTAGGCGAGAGCGATTTCACGTCGTACCAATCATATGGAAATTTTGATATAGATGATTATAATGATACGATCATCATTATTTCACATGATGCTTGCGTCAACAGAACTTGCATTCAACTCTGCTGTCC